AGATCGAGGATAGACGTTTCCAACGACGCAAGGACGCTGAAAGTGACGTATATGGGCAAGATGCGCATGCGCTATCTATATAAAACATATGACACTCTAGAAAAACACCAGAGAAATGGTAAAAGTGGGTGAAACATTGTAAATAATTTTACGAAAATGAACGAGAGATTGAGGCGATTTACCGAATTGAAATCCTACGATATATTAAAATCAATTTAACACGAAGCGTTCTCGTAACGTTGGAGATATAATGAATTTTGTTTGGAAAATAATGGATAGTGTGGTGTCGTTAATCTAACATTACAAACAACTGGCCCTAAACTGACCGCTCATCCCCAACGTTTTCACAACGCTGTGGTACTTTGAAAAGTTTCCTTAAATGGCAATATATATATATATATATATATATATATATATATATATATATATATATATATATATATATTGCCATTTAAGGAAACTATATATATATAGAAATTATAAAATATATTGCTGTATTGTTTTAATTCAGAAGCAATAATTTAAATGATGGTTGCATGTTATAATGTATCCATGGAATTTATTATGCATTTTCTGTTAACGTAACGTTACATGTTAACATGTATGCAACGCTACATGTTATCTTGAATTTCCAAAAGAAAAAAAAAATTCTATGTAAAATTGCATAAATATTGTAACAGAATAATTTAGTTAGCTGGGAAAAATCCCTTTAGGGTTATTTTTTGACAAGAACTTATCAATATCAAGGAAATTATTTGATGGTGAGCAACGCAGGCTAGAATTCAGCTTACCCTGTACTATAGTCTGGGCGTAATTGTTAGAAAAATGCGTAAAATTTATATGCTTACCTTCAGTAAAACAGGATAATACATTCCCACAATACATTCCTATAAATGGCTATCAATCATGCGCATTAATCCCAAATCTTTCAAGGCCGAATATATAATCGTTCCTTGTCATACTGAGAAAAACTTGTCTAATTCTGTAAATGACTCCTGAGGATCGAACTCGCTTATGTCAGTACACTCTGATTCATTTGGTAAACTTCCCTCGGTTTGTCAAGATCAGATTAAATGAGCTTCAAGTAAAAAACAAACAGAATATTATGGAATTGTCCTGCAGGTTCATTCTGCTGACCACCTTTCTAGTGCTGTTTTGCCCCATTTTTTTTTTCAATTGGTCCACATTTTCGAAATGAAAATTTGCTCGAGCCTCACCAAAGGGGAGTCCTGGTGAAAAGTTGCAAGCAGCCTCAGTGGCAAAGAAGATCCCGAAAGAATGTTAAGGGGAGATAACCGCGGATTCATAACATTGTCATTGGTAACTCTCTGCTCCAATTTGCGAACCTGAGATACTATAATACTTAATATAATGCAAAAATATCTAAATGATAAAATCGCTCAATAATTATTTTCAACTATTTATATTGGGATTCATGCATGCAATTACATGTAATTCATAATAATAATTTAAATTATGAAATCATATTTATTTTTGACACAAGCATTTTTTAAATGTATTTTGTTTCTAAATATTTGATTTTCATTCAATAATTCCACCTCGACTGCTATCCTCATCCGCCTCACCTGCTATCCTCACCGGCCTCACCTGCTATCCTCACCCACCTCACCTGCTATCCTCCGCCTCACCGGCTATCCTCACCCGCCTCACCTGCTATCCTTACCCGCCTCACCTGCTATCCTCATCCGCCTCACCTGCTATCCTCACCCGCCTCACCTGCTATCCTTATCCGCCTCAACTGCTATCCTTATCCGCCTCACCTGCTATCCTCATCCGCCTCAGCTGCTATCCTCTTTTGCCTCTTCTATGAGGCGCGCTGCACTGTCTGTGAACCACGCAGTGTTACTATCATTTAGATAGCTTTTCTTTTAAGAATGGTGCAAAGTTATCATACAAGAGCTCACGTAAGAATTGTAATAAGTACCTGATTAAAAAGGATGTAAAGGTGCGTGACGTATTATCAGCTCGGAATTCAGGCCTAAAATGTTACATTCACTTGCGCGCTAATGCCTTCGAGAATGCACTGGATTTAATTTCTCCTCTTTGCTTATGGCTTAATACAAGTATGTGAACTAGACCTTATAAAAGTCAAGAGCAAATTGCGGCACGCGGGCCGATTGCTACACAATTGCACATTCAGAATGGCAAGCTTAATATCATGAGAAAAATAACGTTATTAATATACTGTTTCTTTCCTTTCCTTTTTACTTGTTCACAGATTCATATATAAACAATGATTAACTACAATGTGTCTTGAATTTTGTAACATTTCGTTGAAGGGAACATTATCAACATTTGAAACAATTTGCGATTTGCACTAAGGAAGATCAAAAGTGTAAATTCCTTTTGCTTCAGAAACCAGAAACGGTAATGATATCTATTCTTTTAGAGAATAAATATACTTCTTTAAAAAAAGGTCAAATAAATAAATTAGAAACAAATCACATAGAGCAGTGTGTCTTAATCACTCCGAAATCTGTTATAATATTGTATGAAGACTTTTTTTAATGATAGAAGGATTCTTTATTCTAAAGAAAAAAAAATCAACTTTTCTCCATTTCTAAGTCAGATGCTTATGTGCATGATCTTTTGATGGAAAAATGGCTGCCGTATCTGTAATGGCTGTTGTAGCCTTATGATGAACTCTGCCATGGGTATGGTGATTTTCTTAGGCGAGGTTAGATGTGGCACAAGGCCGAAAGTATGGGGCACCCTGTGACATGGGTATGTGCAACATTTTTTGAACATGAGCTTACTGTTTAATAATGTTGCCAATGACTGCTCTATAGCTTTTGATGCTAGCCAGTTTAGTCGAAGATCCACTCTGAATTACTAACCGTGGAGACTGTCACGGAAAATCACACCAACTTTTCCCAAGAAATCCTGACAATTCAAATATAATAATGAAAAAAGTAATCTGTGGAGAACCGTGACCGCCTTAATTCTGAAGAAACATGACATTAAGAATAAAGAAATGAAATTGCCTTGAAGAAACTCCGTCTAAATATCACGGTATAGTCGAGAATTTTACACGTATTTCTCCGAGTGAATATGATCGTGCTGAAGTATTAATATGTTAGGGAGATTTCAAGTTTAATCCCATTTGCTTGCATCTGCACATATATTTTCCTCCACTTCTTACATTCCGGGCTTGGAATGTCTGAAGATCATGACAACTGATTATTGAGTACTTTCCATAATACGGGAATTAAGAAAATACATTTGATTGCATGTTGGGAAATTAGAGGGAATTAGACCTTCATGTCTCTTATCAAATTCTCTTGCTCGTTAATCCAACCTTCACACACACACACACACACACACACACACACACACACACACACACACACACACACACAAACAAACACACACACACAAGTTACACATAAATCAATGTAAAAAAATTATATATGTCAGAGTGTTACTGGGAGAGACGATTATGTCAGGGTCGATATTCTGCTCAGGGAATAGCGACGAGCCTTTGTCCATTGTCTGTTCGCCTTGATTACTTTTATAAGAGACGAACAAAAAATGGTCCCATGGTGAGTTAAAAATGGCAAAAAACTAAAATAAAAAAATAATGGCCCCAAAAATAAAATAGAGGGAAAATGTCATGGAAGGGTAGAAGCAACGTAATGAAATAAAATGTTGGTCTGAAAATTGCGTTAATCGTTATGTCCATTTCTACATTCTCAGCAAAAATAAATGTAGGGCGACGGTTTTATCCTGCCATTAAAAACATTTTGGGACGTTAAAAGCTATACAATCGTTTAAGGTAAAGTGTCTGTGTCGAACAGAGACGTAGATAACAATCTAGTTCAGAAACTACTACGTTAAGTTACTATATTTAAGTGAAGACATGTACAAGCAAAGACTGTATTCATGTAACACTTACTGAAGATGATTTTAGACGTACCTTTTATTTTTATTACTAACGTACTCTCTTGTGAAATTTAATTAAAACAACCGCTTTAGTCCACTTTCTTTCATAATATGATTAGTTTTAAACCCATTGGTGTGACAGGGTGAAACCGATTTCTATTTTTTCTCAGATCAGGTCATTTGCAGTGGTGTGCAGTTATATGAATCGATTTTCGGGGTATATGATAATTTTTTTTGGCATTGACATATATTGTGCCATCCGTCAATGCATCAGATTTTCATCACACCCAAACACTATTGTCTCGACTGTCGATTAATTGTCCTATGGCCATTGTCTGCGATGGAGGTTACTCCAAGGAAGCTTACGTAAATTGTAACGCTGCACGAACACACTACAAGCCTTACCAGTGAGCAAATCAAAGTACTAATCATCTGTGACCAATCTACAAGGGACGACTTTGTGGAATAGACATACGAACTACTAATATGTGCACTGTGTCATATTTCAGTGGAAAAATAAGAAAAAAGAGTAAATAATAACGGAATTTTCCGTTTTGTTTCAATTAAGTTGCATAAGGGTGTATACGCAACACATTATATCAAGAGAAGATATTATTAACCAAATACATTAAAATATTTAATTATCCATGTGATGTGTGCTGAAAATTTCGTAGTCCACACAATATCCCAAAATCGGACAAATCGGTGGCCAAATATTTTTCTACCCTTTCTTGGTCGGCCCCAGCATCTTAAGCATACAGACACAGTAGAAACTACAAAGATTGATCATTGTTATATTTTGAACGCGTTTCACAAAATGAAGAACATCGATGTCTTACGAATAATACGTCCTCTGTCTTTGCTATAACAGTTCAATGGGGATAACTCGCTTGTAATAATCAATGCTTCAATCCAGAATCTAGTATCGTTTCTTCATCACTCATCTGACTCTGATTGTCTCCAGTCCAAATGAACGGTTAAGCTGTCAGTTAGTCCCTATACTTTAATGTCTACTGAATATCAAATTCACTCCAGGCCTCATGGGGAACTCCTATACGAGCGATTACGAAAGATACTAGAAGGGTACGTCTATATTACGTGAAAACACCGGTTCTCGACTGATCATAAACGTTAAACAATATCGAGCCTGGTCAATATTAAGATGGGTGACCACTTGGGTATATCAGGTGCTGTAATTGATAATGGCTTGGAATTTGAAGTCGGAGAGCTGAGTTCCAATTCCAGTCGAGTTAATTATCTTTACTTACGAGCAAATACCTTTGAGAAATGAATACACCTCTTTTTATCCCAAGTTGTGGGTTAATTGATATGACTTGTATCAGTAAAGCATTATTTATATCCAAAATATTCTTACAATGTAAAAGTATTTTCTGGATTTAAATAAACGGCAATAGGTTGATAGCCCGAAAAAATGAGATACCGAGAAAAATGGTCGTTTCATTCTATGCCTATGGGATGTACCTGACTCCTGTCCTGACTTATCTTTACAATATGAGTTTTTACTCCTACATATCGATTGGGGCTGCCCAATCCTCACTTCCCGTTTTGGGATATACTTCTTTGAACATTAAAATCTTAACCTCTCAAGTCAAGGGTCAATTCTCCTTACCTCATAACGCTCACTTCTTTCAACGTCCTCATTAATTCATATCACATACCTCATTAATCTTAGCGTTTACCAGTAATCTTCTATCTCGGCTTGTTTTAGAGCTTTTTATATGTTAAAACGTCGTACAAAAATGTCTTAGAGCTAACCGCATTTAAATCCGATAATCGTAGTCAAAATTCCTACTGTTTTGCTGTTACTTCGCCATGCACGCGTATATCTTTTTCCTCAACGTATGCACTAAAAAAAAAAAAAAAAAAAACTAAGAAGAGAAAAGGAAATAACATCGTTCTCTAAGAGTATGAGAAATAATTGGATCATGAAATATATATTCTAACAATTTTACTCAATTCAATGACGGTGTTATTCAATCAAAATCACAAAATATCTTCAGGGTGTCAGGAATAAAGTTAAGCATTAGAGAAAAAGCTATGAATAATTTTGTTATCTTTTATACATTTTAATATTCACATCTGATGCTCAGTGATTATATCTAGGTTCAGAATACTAGAAAGATTATTCAAAAATCTAATATATATTTTAATATATTCGGAGATACCAGAAAAAAACAGTGTTTTGGCCAATCTCAGTATTTTCTTGAATTTCTAAACCATCCAGTTTCGATTCTATTGTTTTTGACTCTGTTTGGTCTCAGGGTCAACATATTGCTATCCACAGTGCAGGAATCCCTAGATTAGTGCGGCTAATATGAACATTAAAACATGCGCATTAATGGAAAACGCATTAAACGAATATAAACAAAATTGACAAACAAAATATTTACCCATTTTTCATTTTTGAATTTTAGAAATTCTTTAATTAATCGGTATGAAAAGATCAGTTTTCATTTACTATAATTAACCTGGAGAATGTTTAACCGGACTAATTGCGAATTATTGTTGCACTAATCGAATGCGCATTAATCGAGGGATTCTTATATATTAAATTTATTTTCTAAATTAGCCGACAATTTATCGTAACACCATTTCTTTACATGCTTATCTTTTGCTCAGTTTCCAAAGGAAAACGTTATTATTATTATTATTATTATTTTACTTTCTTTGATTTCTGGAATCCATGCAATGAGTCGATCAGAACGATTTCAAATCAATCAAAGGCCTTCAACTACAATTTGAATTATTGCTGTCCTCATATATTTGAGATTTCCACTTAAAGATCCTTGTATTTTGAAAGCTTTTTGAGGATCGTACATTACAATCTGCAGGGACTGCCATGTCAATAAGAAAGCACATTCTGTTTGTGTGGTGTCTGATAAAGATGTCTAGGCGATTAGACTTGATTTTTCAGTCAGTGCGTATTGTAAAATCTTATAAAATTGTTACAGGTCCTATCTCTGTAACCGTTCTGGGGAATGTTCCTACCAGTTTCTTGTAGATTCCTTCCCATAAACATTGCATATTTTCCACTCTAACGTGTCGAGATTTTTATTCAGCGGGTGCTAACACCGTGCGACCCGATACAAGATGGCCTATCTTTTCTGGATATTTATCACAGAATTTGAATTTGAGTTAACTCAGATTTTAACTATGTGTACTTGGTAATTTCTCGTCAACAAGGAATGGTCTTGTGAAGCAAAAATAAAACCTTCGGTTTTAGCTTTTAACCTTGAACTATGTAACCACTGATGGTTTTTACGTTTGTCTGCATCAGCTTCTCCAGTACGGGCAGAGTGTTGACCATGAAGATGTTTATCTTACCATCATTTCTGCATTTCGAACATTGCATTTGCTTTCTTTTTAAGTAATTTGCCGTTGAAGTAGGTGTAGTATCATTTATTTATACTTCTTCACGCACTTAAAATTCTCTTTTGAATTATTTGGCTTCCTTTATTTCTGTAGTTACCAGGTATCTTTGAAGACCGATTGTTGTGGTTTTAGTTCTAGTTGAACTAATCCTCTACTTCCTTCGGGTCTGGACACATACAGACGATAGAAATCCGTCTTAAGATGATGCATGCGGTGGCAAATGAGAAGCTTTCTCATTTTGACATCCATTCGCTTAATGTCAGCTATAGTCAAATTAAGGATGTTGAAACTATATTGCACAACAGAGACAGCCGAAGTGTTTATGGCTGATATTCTTTTTCGTGAATTCAACTCGGTATTTAACACACGCCCGTAGTAAATTTTCTTACTTTATCCTTCATTTGGGTCTGCTGACTTTCCATCTCCTTCGCTAACTTCTAGATATATATAGGCTTTACTTGTTCCAGTTTCCAAACCTTCGTAACAAAAACTTGATATATTGAATATAATTCTCTAATTCTTCCTTTCTTACATGTTACGTTTGCCGATCAATCTAATCCGGAATCCATAGTGATGTCATCACGGAAACATTTTATTGCAGTGACGAGAACAGGGCGATAGGCAAACCTTTCAGAAGTACAGAGGTAAAGAAACCGGAAACCCAATTTTAAACAGGAAACAAGGCATAAAACTTCAATCAAGCTCACACATCTCCCCGGTCCTTTGAGCTGAAATGAAGGTTTATGCCTTGTTTCCTGTTTAAAATTGGGTTTCCGGTTCCTTCACCTCTGTACTTCTGATAGGTTTGCCTATCGCCCGGTTCACACATCTCCCAGGTCTTTTGAGCATAAACCATATGCCTTGTTTTCTGTTTAAGATTGGGTTTCCAGTTCCTTGAACTCCTGGATCTGGACATATAAAGACTGTCAACATTATTATTATTATTATTATTATTATCCATTTATTTGTTAATACAAGATATCGGATTATCAGCACAAAATATTGAGTGAGGACAACTGTTCTCAGACGTCGACTACGTCCTTAGCGTGTTCACATATTCTAACCTAGTCATGGGAAAATGCGACCCGGGGGACGCATGTGGCCCGATTGACTTTTTAAATGACACGCCTAATTTCTTTAGGTAAATAACATTTAATAACATTTTGTTTGTTACGTTTCGTTCTCACATATTCACTAAAAATTTCTCATATACAACCATATACAGGTTGCGATGGGTAAATTGTCGCCATTTTATATTTTTAATTTCGTGAAAGCGTGTTTTTGTTTTTGATTTTTGTCGATTGAACAGTATACTAGGCTTGGTTAGGCACCGTCTGCGAGCAAAAGAGAACCCCAACAAAAATTTGGGAACGGTATGCTAAACTACTTGGAATTTGCACCGGAATCTCAAATACGAACATTTCATAGTGTTTGTATACCAATCTGAGGAGGGTGCAGAAGATTTGGGATGAGTTGGATGAGTCTAATGGTGATTACGAAGCTGTTTGAAGTGATCACTAGTGATGGCGACGTTATGCCTACATTCATCTTCCCACAGAGCCTCAGGCTCAACACGGAGGCTTACATAAAGTGATTTCAGTCGATAGTGCTTCCCTGGGTCAACAGGGTGGCTGCTGGAAGACCCTGTGTCTGGCAACAAAACTCTGCACGATGTCACATAAGCAGGTGAACCACGCCATGGCTTTCAGGCAATTTCAGCTATCGCCTCTTGCACCTGACCAATTAACTCCGCAGACTGATTATTATGAGTGGGGCGTATTTGAGCGAGAGACAAGAAAAACTCCTTGTAACACCAAAGATGAACTGAAGGTAAAGATTATGGTAGCATTCAACAACTTAAAAAAAAAAGAAGAGTTTCAGGAGATTCCGAAGTCGTCCGTGGTTCAAGCCAATGGTGATTTAATGCTTTATGGTGAGCCATTACCCGAAAAACTTTGCTCATGCTTGTTCTTCCCCTCCCCTCTTTTACATCATCGCAATCATGATATATAATTAGTTCCAAAATGTCCAACTGATTTTATCTTTATCACACCGTTTTGAGTACTCCCTTCTATTTGCTATTTTCAAATCTACACTGAAACAACGAATTTTAGTAATACTATTAACAATCTCTTTAATCTCACATGCTGAGTTAATACAAAAAAGATTTTTTCTTCATTAGACACAAGAGAAAGCAAACTTACCGAACGAACATTAGCAATAATTGTTTCTACATCTAAATACTTAAATTATTAAATAAAACAAATCTTTTTTAACTTTTTATTTTCTTCATTTTTTTACTGTAAAAGTACAAATACCTAAAAGTTTAAATTTCACAATTTTTTTCAAAACCAAATCCAAGTCTGAATTCTGCTATTTAAAATTAACGGACGTAATCCAAGACTGCATTCTTCTAATAAATGTTACCGTGCGTAATGCAATACAACATTCTCCTAATTAAAATTATCGGACGTAATCCAAAATTGCATACTTCTAATTAATATTACCGGATGTAATCCAAGACTGCATACTTCTAATTAAAATTTACGAACGTAATCCAGGACTGCATACTTCTAATTAAAATTACCGGACATAATCCCAAACTGCATACTTCTAATTAAAATTAACGAACGTAATCCAGGACTGCATACATCTAATTAAAATTACCGGACGTAATCAAAAAATGCATACTTCTAATTAAAATTACCAGACGTAATCCAAGACTGCATACTTCTAATTAAAAATTACCGGACGTAATCAAAACTGCATACTTCTAATTAAAATTACCAGACGTAATCCAAG